GGGGGGGGGGGGTTCTTGAGAATGCAAAGCCGACCTTTAACTGCCCTCCCCCCCCCATTCCCCTCTCCACATCCTTGACATGGGGTTCGGGGCCCACTGAAGAGCCCCAATAAGTTTTTATAGTTTAGGGGGGGTATTATTTGGTAGGCCTACGGTTTAGAACTATAATATTCAGCCAGTCAAAATTTTAATTTTAAAAATTAAAATGGGAGGATGGATTACACATTGTACTGCGTTAGGAATTTTAATTCTCAGGTGTTATTGGTCGTGAGGGATTGAGGCAGCAGTGTAAACAGATCGAAAAAGATACTTGTACACACACAAACTGGCCGCCAATACTCATTCTCAATGTATAAGTCCATTTAAACTCTTTTATCAGCATTCTCGATATGAAGAGAGAGAGATGTGATTCAAATTTACTTTATTTTATGATTATTATTTAATTAATTTCTTTTATACATCTTTTATTCATTAACACAATGTTTTATTCTTAACAACCCAGAGAGTACGTTTTACCCCAATGGATAAAGTTTATTATTATTATTATTATAATCATTATTATTATTATTATTATTATTATTATTATTATTATTATTATCAAAGCATAGCGTTCAAGTACAAATTAGGCCCGAACACAAGTCTAGCATTAAAAAAAAACAGTGATTATTAGATTTATCTGTTTTCTATCACTCACTCACACACACACACACACACACACACACACACACACACACGAAATCACGTAACCATAATAAATTTCAATAGCGACCTTCTTTGCTGGTAAAATGGGTCATGCGTCTACGTCATCATTTTGTGAGTGGGAATACAGCGCACCAAGTGGTATGAAAAATAACTGGTTCTCACACGAAGCCCTCTATTGGCAGAATCCCCTAGCCCATCTTAGAATACGACAACCATTCTGAACATGGTACATGCCCTTCTCACCCCCCCCTCCCCACTTTGACCGAAGAAAAAAATTTAAAAAATCATGATTTATTTATTTATTTATTTATTATTATTATTTTTTTTTTTTTTTTGCATGTATTTCTGTGACTGTCTTACCATAAATACCAAACCATGTTTTTGTTTTACATGAAATGTGCAGAGTGGCTTTGTTTAGTGAAAAGGCTGCTTAAAATCGATATTATCAGGATTAGATTTTTTACAAATACTTATGTACAGTTTTAGAAGTATTGAAAGAAGCTATTATATAACAAATGGTAAAACCGGTGAATTTATAAACGTATAGGCCCATATATTCATATTTACATATGCTATTATATAACAAATGGTAAAACTGGTGAATTTATAAACCTGTAGGCCCATATATTCATATTTACATATGGTGTATTATAATTGTATATGTCTGGTGCTGTCACAGAAAAAATCTATTAAACTCTGTTGTTGCAACCTGTTTTGTGTCTGTATATTTTGCCAGCTTTGCTGTCTAGTCTTATGTTAGTGCTCATCTTATTGTTTGCCTAAGGATAATTAAGTATAAAAGATGTCTGCAGCAATTTTGTATAAGGTAATATACAGAGAATTATTTTAATATTATTTCCTTAAAATAAAGATTTTAGCAACTTTTTTTGCGATAAGTATATGGAAGCTTTTATACTAGTATGTACACTACTGTTGTGATCCCATTGTACTAGTCTTTATACTAGTCTGTACACTACTGCTNCGAACCCCCCCTGGCTATGGGCCTGAGATGTGACTGTGGGTTTAGTGATTGTCATATGAGACTACATACACATAACCATGATCCTCACTGCTCTGATGAATACAATATTCAGAGCAGTGAGGATCATGGTTATATATGTGTCTGTAGTCTCATATGACAATCACTAAACACACTGTGGACATAATTATACAGTGATAAAAGAGAGGGGACATTTTAAAAGTGGCAAACCACAGTCTCTTTGCAGTGAATATCAGGATTTTGTTTCCTTAACGTGAAATATGTACAAAGTATATAGAAATTTACATGGGAACATTTTTAGTGCACAAATGTTATTAAAAAGTACTGTAAAGATGGTTATATAGATATGGCTTTGGATATGTCTGGGAGGCTCAGGGTGTGGGAAATTCTGTTTTATTTCTTAAAGTTTTCAGAGAAAGATTAGTAGATAATGCTGGCCAAATATGGCACAGTGACATATGTAAGAGCAGCAAACTGGATACTTATTCATTATTTAAGAGCACGTTAACACTGGAGTGTTACCTATTAAGTGTTAAAAATGTAAAACATAGAAACTCACTAGCAAGATTCAGATGCGCAAATCACCTACTACATATTGAGAGCGGTAGATGGAGAGGTATAGAAAGATGCAATAGACTCTGTTTAATCTGTAAAAAACATAATATTTATGATGTAGAAGACAAATACCATTTTTTAATGACATGTGTAGCATATACAGAATTAAGAGGAAAATATCTGCCAGTGAATAACCCTACTAAAGAAAGTTTTTTAAGATTAATGGCTACAAAAAAGACAAATTTAATAGCAAATCTGGCTGCTTATATATATAATGCTTTTTTATTAAGAAAAGAAATTTTGAGTCACTGACAAAATAAACAATCCTTAATACTATACTATTTTATTATTATTATTATTATTATTATTATTATTATTATTATTATTATTATTATTATGTACTATGGGCCGGAGGCCTTGGAAAACTGAATAAAACATCATCATCATTATGTAAAGATGTTTATAAATAGTTTTTATAACTCTTTGAAATAAAATTAAAAGTCTACAATGTAGTTTTTGTTATGTTATTGTTTATCATACTTGTATTATTTTAGGTAATTAAGATTTTATCAACTGTATTCATAACTTTCAATTTTAACACACTTCTTGAAAATCTATTTGACCTTTGTTTCTCTTAGAATTATCATTTCAACATTAAAAATGTACCAACCAACTTTTAATTATAAATAAATATTAAATGATAATATTATCATTATTTGGTGGTGGTGTTGTTATATTAATATGACTGTCTAAGAATATAAGGTTTAAGAGCTCAATTCCAACGAAAATAAGTGCATTCAAAACAGTGTACTAACAGTCTGCAGATCAAATATGGCAACCCACTAACAAGCTTGCCTCTTAATTCCTGATTAGTCAAAGAACAGATACTCCGCAGGGATTATGCAACGAGCATTCAAGTGGGTCGGCCATATTTGATCCGTGGATCTGTTAGTCTGCTGTGCTGAATACACTTAATCTCTCTAGGTGATCAGATATGTATACCACCCTCTGGCTTTGGGCAGAAAACAGAAAATGTGGTCATTATAAAAGCACATTAAAAACAAAAGGAGACATGTCAATCCAATTGCATTTGGCGTGAGTCCCTGTGGAGCTGGATCGATTTACATAGATCAATAGTGTCATTGGGAATGAGTCCTAAATTAAGGCACTAGTAGATATGTCAGTGGCAATACTAAGATGAATAAATATAAAATGATAAAGAGAATGTATAGTAACATTTTCTAAGTCTAGATGATCCTTTACTTCCAAAAGTGTTTTATGCAGATCACAAATATAACATCAGAAGTATTAAAGGGACCACTGAAAGGCAAAGTATATTGCAAACTTTTAGAGAGGTAAAAAAATAGGCCACATCTCCATTTTCTCCCTGCAGAATTTTGCAAAATTTTCATGTCACCTTTCTTTTCCATTTTCTTCTGTCTATCCCAAAAATGTCACATACCATGCAAACTGTTCAGCTCTCAGAAAACGCGGTATATATAAATTTTATAAAATACAATAAACTCTGTGAAACTATGCATCAGCCCCCCCCCCCCGCCCCCCGCCTTCCCGCGGACATCACTGAGCCACTGTTAACCTTTAAAGGTGTCAAACAGAGCGATACTTTAAAAACTGCAATAAATCCTTATATAGATATGTTTAAAGGCAATTAACGAAGATTTGGGTTAAGATATTGAATGGCAGTGATTTTCTTCAATATGGGTTTTGATTTCAAGTACATGCATTAAATGTAAGCAGTTGGTTTCATTTCAAAGCAAATATGAAACTAAATTGAAAAGGGATTTGGAGATTTATGGTTAAAACAGAAATCACCTAAAAGTTTGCGCTTTCTGGGAACGCGTTAGTAGCGGCTTTTAACAAAACTGGTATCGTGAACTTAGAGACGTTTGAGATAAGAAACTTAAATAATAAAATGTATTCAACAATAAGAATATCTGGAAGTTGTAATTGATGATGAAAACAGAAAAATCCTTAGTCGTTTTCGCAATTGCGCACATTTACTTTACATTGATACAGGTTGATACACAAACATTTATTTTCACTGGTGTCACAATGAACAAGCACGTCTTTTCTCCAGCTTGTATCCGAGGGTCGAGACACCAGCCAATCAATGCATGGCTTCAGATACATAATTTTTTGTTTTTGCTCCCCTATCCCCTCCCGTTTTTTCTTTTTTTTTCCTGAACGGTCATCCCCGTATTATCCTCACTAATATTCTGCCTCCTAGGCACTCTGTTCATTTCGTTTTGATAATCATTTGGTCAAGTTGAGAGTGGTCAAGTTGGTCAAGTTTTTATGATGTCTATAGTTTTGTGCCTTGTAGTTCTACTAGTCTTAAAACAATGTAACACATTAAATGACACGTTTGCATTACTCAGTAAACTGATTGTTATGCAATTTCTTGTTTTATTTTTTCTTATGAAGCACATTTGGGTCCATATGTACTGCTACATAAAAATAAAAATGTTGGATATTCATGTACAAACCTTAGTCTTTAATTGGGATGCGTTAATAATAATAACCTCAATCATTTGGGATGAAGGTCTGTGGACAAAACAAAAAGGCTTGTTTGTACAAAGACCTGATGGTAACGTTTTAGACAAGGTAAAAACGCATCGTGTCTTCTCTAACACAATCCCACGACAGTGCTATTATTATGTAAACCAGGTGAGCATTTTGGTGAGAGGTATTCAGATAGGACCAAGGTCAGTAGGAAGAGGAAGAAGCCTCATGTGCCACATTGCCACACTTTCCACACGTAGACTGAATTTTTGGCACTGAGAACTGATGTGGTTTGTTGTAAGTACTGTAGATGATAGATGATATAAGATAGATGATATAAGGCAACACTGGCCGTTTTATTATGACGATATTTTATCAAAAAGTATGCATTTCCCACTTCAGGGGCAATGGCTCTTGGGTATTTTTCATTGACAGGAATGCCGAAATGATCTTGAAAAGTTAAATAACTTTTTATGTTGTTTTTTTCCAGAAGGAAAGTATTTGCTCATAAAGAAGTGAGAAGATTATTCCAGCCGTCCAAAGGTCTGAACGCGTTATTCCGTCTTAAACAAAGCAAGACGACAAAGCAGGTAACTACTGGTACATTTTCAGCTCCCAATGGGTGCCTTTTTCATCCTACGACAATGGCTTGTACAAATATATCATGTTTATTAAAGTTAACCGACAATAAACAAATAGTTTTGGACTAGGGTTTTATGTCATCCTACAGAACCGAGACATTTTAATGTATCTAACCTCGGACCCCGCTTTTACAAAACCCAACATTATCATTTCATTCACTTTTTATTTCAAGTGTTTACATTTATTGACTTTTATTTCCACAAATATCTAGAAGTCCAAGCACTGGTATCTCTAGTAATAGTTCAGGTCTCTCGTATACAACGGGCGGATCCAGTATAATTTGAAGGGGATCCACGAAGCCGAAGTCGACCCCCCCCTCCTCCGAATGGTGCCATTTGGTACGGTTTATAAGTATAATTTAGCTGGTCAAAATTCTAATTTCAAGAGGGGACCATTGGCGTGATTTTTTCCAGAAATCGAAGGGACCCCCCTGCCCCCCCCCCCAAAAAAAAAGGCCACGTGTAGGTTCAATATACCGAGTATATAATTATTTTAATATAATTCTTATAATATGATTTTATATCTGTTAATGCACACCGAAATGAATCTCTCTAAAGATTATATTTCACTTTATCAAGTCCTTAGATATTTTTCTCGCATGTGGATTTTGTTTAATTTATTTCACTTTTCATTTAATTTCAGTGCTTCGTAACAACCGTCTACGATGAAATTGGACGCACTCCCAGCAAAGACATCAGATTCGTGTTCGCCAGCGCCTACACCCATGTCAACGTTGGCTTGCGTGTCGAAGTTTGTCGTATAGTCAACTTTCAGGGTTGACATTTGATTTGGTTTGAAATGTAATATTTGCTTTGGGTTGTAATATTCTGCATCAAAACGTGTATCAAATGAAGTGCAGCTTATAACGAGTGTTTTATTCATGAAAATTCTGATAAAATGGACCAAATCCAAGCGCCAACCCTGCACGTCGCTGGTTTATTATTGTACATGTGTAAATAAGTTGTAGTACACCACTCTATCCGCACACGATGTTTTTACCATAATTTAAAAAGTTCTCTAACCTGAAAAGACGCTTATAAATTTATCCTAAAACAAAAATGTGCCTTGCTTAAGTGATCTATGTAAAATTATCATTAAGTGATGTGCAGGTAGAGCACTGTGCTAGTACGACCGATTTAATGTTTGATTGTCAAATTTTGTGTGCGGGCAAATATGTAATAACACACGAAAGTGCATGTTTATTCATATCAAATTGGATACAAATATTGATTTTAATGGAAGTTACCTTTTAAAAAAATAAGTCGCCAATTTACTGTCTTATCGCCTAAAAATCCTTTTTCATTTTTTTTTTGGTCTAATCAAATATGAAAACGCAAAGTTCTATCAGATAAATGGCACTTGATTGGTTAGAGCAAAAGGTTTACACAAATTGGAAGAGAAGTGTTTATTTAATGTTGATCTTGTACTCAGGACTTTCTTAATTCTATATTTCGGTCGGGATCAAGGAGTGATTGAGAACAAAAGGTCTGATCAGGTGCCAGTCCTGCACGTGCTGTTGGGTTATTTTTGCTGAGTGTTTATTGATCACTGAACACCAGAGATCTTTGAGTTTATTAGCATTTTCTGAGTAAATGTGCTCAGTTATTTTAAGTTAACTTGTTTTTGCATAACCTTTTTAATTTTGTTTACATATTGTTTTTAAAAATGACTATGACTGGGATAAGGTTGTAAACTGACCATGTCTTCATGCTGTTCTTGATTCGCACGACGCATAAATTTAAGAGTTCACCCAAAATTGTACCACCAAAATCCTATTTTAAGATTTAAAGAGAAGAGAAAATGACGCAAAATATGAGGTACATATTCATTTAACTATGAGAAAAGCACTCATCAAATGAACAAAATTGAATAATGTTTGACTGCTGTTTGGTGTTGTGTGTGATCATCAGCATGGCGACATAGAGTAAGTTGTAGGGTCAGGAGTGTGTACCCGCGTGCGGGGAGAACGCTTACATGAGATCGTATGCATTTTGAATTTTCTATACTGTTACCACCCTTGAATTTGGATAAAAAATGTCCCTAGAGAAATTTTGGATCGGTCACAAGACAAATACACCAAATTCAACTTTGAACGATTGCTGTAAAATACATCGTCAAATCTTCAACTTTCTCTTTTAACTCTGGGCAAAAACCTGAGAATTTCATGTTCTGGTCAGTATTATGTCGTCTTGTATGCAGTGTTCTTGAGCACTTTTTTAGAACCAAAATGATTGATCTTGAGCGACAATTTTCAAAATGCATAGAACCTCCAACGCATTTAGTTTTAGATAATTGTATTGAAGCTTGATTTATGTCTCGAAATGCTAAGTCGTTATGAAAATTACTTTTTATGTATGGCGCAATTGTTTGTATGTTTTAATAAACGTACATAAAAATTGTAATAGACGTGGTTTCAAAATGTGCAAAGTATGACCTGCTCAATTCTGACATTCTTTTCTTCAGCTTGACTCGAACCTTTAGTTTTCAACTTTTTACTCGTCCTTTTCTACTTCTTAGTCTGTCGCCTTACCTACTGAGCCACCGTCTCAGTTTGCATTTTCCTCATTCGTATGATCCTCTTGTATTAGTTTAATTTGCTTCTTTGGGTTTATTTTTGCAAAAGGTAATTTGCTGGGACCTAGGACGCCAGGAATCGAACTGGGGACCTTCTGTCTCAGAGGCAAGCGCGTTACCTACTTCTCCAAGTGTTCCCACCCACCCTCCCCGGGTAGACTTTCTACTTATAGTAACCAAAAGAAAATTCTAGTAGCACCCCTTTGTAATTCCGAAGTGCCCGAGCCAGGAATTGAACCCCAACTCCAGGCTACCACTGAGCCATGTAGCCATCAGGAAAAACGCTAAGACATTTTGTATATTCAATAAGTTTATTATTAAGTGCAATTCAAATTTATTTCACTGTATTCAATTATTAATAAAACATATCTATAAAACATCATTGTCTTAAGTCTATTTATTACGACAAGTATCTGTGAGAATATTATTGATGTCTGCATTTAAATTCACTTACAGGCGACTTGACATTTTAAATTGTCTATCACACTAATGGTCTTTTTTATCTTAATGAAACAAACAAAATATTTCAACTTCTTCATTAAAAAAAAAAAAAAAATGGTGGATCTAGTCTCCGCCCTCCCCGAGGGGAGAGACCCATTCTGGGCTCACATGATCAAATGATCAAATCCTTAAAATACTCCATCTCGCCCCAAATGTCAACATCTGACCCCTTTAAAATATCCTGGATTCACCATCGTTTTTTTTCTATATAACGATGAAAATTATGAGATATTTATTGAGTGCTCTGTTTAAAATTGCACGCTTTTTACAGTCAGACACTTATCGTTGGTAACAAAAAACGGACACGCACTTTCGTTATGTTTGGCAAAAATTTGTCAAAAGAAACATATACAACGTTTATACAGCTATTGACAAAATGGAAAGACTAATGAACATAAGATAATAAAATGAATATGATTTTTTAAAATTCCTTACAAAAACTACTAAGAAACAAACTACATGTTCACTTAAAATCCAAGGGACAGATCACGGTATTTCTCATAATTCCTATATCCATTTTCAATAAAAAAAAAACCCTTCTGAACATAAATTGTTCTAAATTCGAATGAATATAAATAATTTCTGCATCACCTGGTTGATAGAATGAAGAATACTGGTAAGACAGAATTGCCGAAAACAGTTAAATTTGGAAAATGAAATAAGTTTCATTCACATAAATGGTCCCATCATCTTTACCCAGAACCTGTATTTGTTTAACAGATTTATGGCAAACTTTATATTTCAGGATAAAACGTGTACATATTTTACTTTGTAAGAACTACGTTCAGAGATAAGTAAAACGCGAAAGTAGTCTCTTTTCCATCATATGAATGGTATTTACATGCACAAAATCAGCTTTACAAGAAGGGATTTTTCTCAAATGGAAATTGAATTTTCTTAATTCTACATACTTCCCTTGTGACACAAAATAATCGATCTTGATTCGTAAAATGGCATCTCTTACTCAACAAGACAGCAAATTTCAAGAGACGATAATCCTTTTTCCTCATCTGAACATTAAAAGAAAGGCACACAATGAGTGTAGGCTTAAGTCGTTTCGTTTTTGATTTCAGTACATTTAGAGAATGAGACTGAAGAATATACTCACGCCGGTAAAAACAGAAATTAAGGATTAAACACTGGGCTTGTAGAATTTATCAGCGGTTTTCATGTGTTCTTGGTGATTTAGGTAAAATTGCTGAATGTTACAGAAAAATATTTGTCTTTAAACCGACATAAAATTTGTGTATTTTTGCGTAGATTCGCATTCGATCTAAACTAGAAAGTCACCCCTTGCTGTCTTGCTGAAGAATACCACAAATAGTACCATTTCACATGACACTTGTGACAAATTCGAAACTACGATAGTATAGAACATATTTCAATACAATAAAGCAAGTTCTTAACTGATGACCATGTTTTCTGATATATCATTACGTTTTAAATATGTTACATATAATTAGCAAATTACCTCAAATTCGTTATGCTATATTGATAAAAAACACGTTAAAGACACCTTTGGACAGAGCCTTTTCAAATCCGTTCCAAACAGCGTTTCGGGCTATCAGCTCGCCCCTAATGTCTTGAAAGGTTGATCTTATAATATGTCACGCAGAAATCAATATAACTTCAATTTAACTTACACATTTTAATGAAATGAGATATTAAATATTGATCTATGAAATCTTGCCAATATTTGAAATGGAAGTGTATTACTATATATACAGTACCTCCTTTTAAAATACTTGAATTATGTTCTTTACTTCGGAAATGGACGTTTGTTACTTTACCTATATCATATTCTATAATTCCACTACCAAGCGCTCACTAAATATCAATATGCCAATGGCCAGACCCTCACAAGTCATTTCACAGCATTTTCCCCTCCTTGGTCATTTCTCACGGTAAACTTCCACTGCCACTACTATTTCTACCGACGAAGGTCAAAAGACTGAACATGAAGTGCAACTGCATCTTCCTTTGTTTTATGAGACGCGATGAAATAAAGTGAAGGAGGAAAATGTTGGGAAATGATCAAAACCACTTTTAAGCAACGGGTGTCAAAATGCTTTTTAAAAATAAATCACAAGTAACTTATCACCAAATACCTAACATTGGTTTCTTAAAACGTTATATTGTTATGGCTGAAATAACGATATTCGTATACTTAATATCTAAGCCGCCTTCGCTCCACTTCCTGATCACTCAGCACTGAGGCAGTGACGTCTCCTTCCAGGCTGTCCAGCCCATTACATTCATGGTAGGGGGAGGTGGCAGGTTGAAGTGGGCGCCTTTTCTTTTCAACTCTCACCAATATTTTACGGATGAAACTTCATTTGTAATTTACAACATTAAAAATACACAGGACGAATTTGTGATCAGCACATTTCAAAACATACCAGCAGAAAATAAACCTTAGATCCTTATCCACCCCAAAATGAAGCGACATTATGTAGGTCACTGGCTATCTTGATATTACACAATATTGCAAACTGATTTTAATATCTGAGCAGTTTTTGTTGTTTGGCCAACAGACCATGCGATTGAGCCATTTGGAGGTAAACAGAAATTTTGCAATCGGAAATTCGGCACCTTGTTTTAGATTTATAATTTTACGGACATAAAATAACCAGTGAATTATTTGTGAATATACAATGCTTTAATATTTTTATCTGCACAATAAAATTAATTTTGATGCATGTGATTTTCTCATCTTTATTATCTCATGAATACGTGTGTGTGCGCGCACGCATGCACGCGTTCTCTATTGTTAGCAAATGCTCTAATCAAATGGTGATTTGGTTCCCTACGATTAATGATTTATCAAAAATAAAGTAATAGACAAAACAGTAAAGATATAGGTTATCTTCAAACTATATATGAGAGCTGTTTACGTACCGCTGTCACCCTTGTTTGGGGGGTTCGATACGTTATTAAGGCCAACGTTTAATTTGAAAGAACAACATTTTTTCCAATCTCTCTAATATGAAATACGCATAATGATATTAGCGCAATAAAAGATAATAATATAGTTAGACTACTGCAACTCTTTACTCTATGGCTGTACCAAAGAAATAATAAAAAAAATACTGCAGCAATTTCAAAAAAATTCAGCGCGTGTTTAACCCAGGGTACCCTGAGTGTCAGAGCAACGTAAAAATTAGCTTGTAAATATTAAATATGCCTTGGATTCATTTTTACTAGTATTGCTTACCTGGTATTACTAATATGGGTTATATATGAAATCAAGATCGAGCTGGCAATATCGGAATCTAGAACCTAGGGTAACCCAGGGAGACTCATATCACACTTATTTTAAAACAGTTGCACTGGCTTCCTGATAGAGCACGTATTTTATTCAAAATTTTAATTTCTATGCATACAAGTTTTTTCAATCAGTATGAACTGTCACTGTCTCCAGACACCCCCACATCAATAAATGCTGTACTCCTTCACAGGAACCAGGTTTTCTCTTTAGATCCTGTCCGTTTTGGTCAGATGTTAAGGAAGAAGTACAGCGTTCCGTGTGATTCGACAGTGAGAGTGATCTCCTTGGTAGATACACAGCGTGGTGAGCTGCCGAGTCCTATTAGTCTGTGGTTTGGGACAAGTTGAAGGCAGAATCCATGGACATGATCCCAGAGCTGCGGTTATCTGTCGCTGGGATCGTGAACTATCTGAAACAGACATGGAAACAAAACTTTAAATTTCACTGATACACACCATTATTCACAATTTAGGTGACTCTCTTGCCTACATTCCAAGCTATCGAATTGTCTCTAAAAATGGAAGACGACCTCAATCCAGTCCCAAACGATAACTCTCACCTGTCATCTCAGTTAGCAACATTTCGGAACTGCCAAAGACAAAAAGTTCGTAAACTGGCAAGTCACATACATGTATCACATAATGCTTTTAAAAATTCGAAACTAAATCACAGCATAGCTAAAGAAATCAAATCAAATTCATACATCGCTCCTGTCCGTAATGAATACACTAATAGATAATAGTACGATAATACAAATATGCTATATTCTACCACGGAGCCGAAGGTGGGGAGGGCAGCCAATATGACTAATAGGCAGTCCTTCTACTCTCCACCAGGGGTCGGCTGGGGGACGGGTGGCGGTTTATTATTTTTGTTTTCAAAGTTTCTCGCTGGACAACACAAAAAATGGTGCAGAATTGGCCAG